CAACTTTTTACATTAAAAATTCACTGGATAAAATTAAAGTGCAATTTGGAGTGCAGCATTAACACCCTAATCTTTTCTTCCAATAAAGTGTCTTTACACATAGGCTACTCTGACAAATAAAAAATACATATCCTTTTTTTTTTTTGACTTCTGTTCCACCCAGAGGTTTGTATTCAATAGGAAGGTGAAAGCTTCTCCCTGCTCGACTGAACATTGCTGTTGGTGTGGACCCTTGCTTAAGAGAAAAAACAGGGTCATGGCAGCTGTGTATCTCAAAGAGTCCTGGGGCTAATGGGAGACAACTCCATGTCTTAACTGAACACCTCTTTATCATGAAAAGTGTTGGAAATTCAGATGCATGACTAGGTGAATTTCTGACTGAGAGCTGAGGCTGAGCCCTGCTCTTGTCTTTGTGCACCTTTGTGCTCCCAAAAACATTGCTGGTGCCTGAGCTGTTCCATGCAGAGCCTCTCAGGCATGATTTTTCTAGCATTCTGGACAAATCCAGGTCCCATTTTCTGCACCTTTGGAAATTAGTGAGTCAGCAGTGATTTCAGGAGGCATGTACAGGAAAATCAAAATGCCCTTTTAAAATTAATATAATCTCCAATTATCGTATTACCTCAGGGAAGAAGGCCCTGTGGTACTTAATAGAGCTCTTTGGGGCTGTTGTGCATTTTAATTGAGTGAATAATTGTAAAACACTTCAGGGCCTTAGGAAAAAGGCTCTGTATAAACATTGCAATAATGCTGAATAATCAGATTGTGATATGAACTGGAATGAATGAACCTTATAAATAGATATATAATGTATGCATTTGTATAATGTGTATGTGTTATATATACACACCAATATTTTGGAGAGAACAAGTCAGTGACCTTATAAATGCCCTACTGTTCTTGAATAAGAAAATCATCTGAGATTGGATAGGATAACAATATTCGTAGTAATCATAATGTTCATTTCCAAGACACAGTGAGCCCACAGCTGTGCTGTACACAGAGTTGCCAGAGGTATTGATGGAGATGCTGCTTCAGTGGCTCTTGAGAAACAGCAAAACGTGTCTCAAAGGAAGTCTTTTGTCTGATGGTAGAGGAACATGGAGGAGGCAGATCCGAGGTGCCAAATGTTCAGGCACCAGTAGGTGTAGATGGACGTCTAGAAGTTTGGGAGTTCTACTTCTGATGGCTTTCCCAAGGTTTTTCTGCAATCCTTTTTGCTTGGAGCAGGGATCTCCTGCAGCCTGAGTTAGTGCCATTCCTGTTGTGTTCAAGCTAGAGATTGGGATGACGCTGACAGCAGCGCTGCTCCTCAGCAGGACCTGTGCTAGGGCTGTAGCTGACACACTGTGCTACCATGCATCAATCAGCAGCCACTGTCTTCCTCCTGAATGCTTTGGCTGTCTTATCTCTGAAAACTGTAATTTTCTGGGGCAGTGATTCTGTCTTTTTCTGTGCTTGTACTCTCTTGTTCTTCGGTCCATTAGGAGGGGGAATGCCTCTGAAAAGGAGATGATGGAGATGAACTTTTAGAGTTCATGCAAAAAAAGAAACTGTGCTGAGCAATGTAGTGCCAGTACAAAGAATTCTCTTTTCTTGAAAGGGACTTGACGCTTCCCGTGACGATGTTGCTTCACTTAGTTAATGAAAGGAGCCATCTAATACAGGCTAAATGTAAAAGTAGATGGAGGAAACTGGCATTTGAATGGCTTGAGTGCTCAAAATATAAATGAGTGGGACAAGACCAGACTCTGTTTATAAAGGAATCAATTACCAGCCATCATTTTACTACTGTGAATCTCTCATTTGCAGGAGCAGTCAGGGCTGTTTTTGCTGGGAACTGGGACAGACACTGCTTGATATTACACACATCTTTTAAGCAGTGAGGAATACTGCAGGTTCAAGAGGGGTAGAAAGACTCTATAATGATTTTTCTTACTGTAAATCCACTGAAAAGACTGAAATAGTGCCAGGCACAATCTTAGTTCTGCAAAGTTGTATCCACAGCCAGAACAGTTCAACAAAATGATCCATTTTGTATTAGATGTACAGATTCAAATGGTGTAGCCAGTGTGTGGGCTATTCAGGATGTCAGAGTAGGAATAGGTTGGACCAAATTGCTATTTAATTTCTGTTCAGAGCAGTAATATGGGTCGTAAAAGGAAGTGTTGTAAGTGATACTGGCATATAGTGATTGCTAATTATTATTATTTATTTTTTTTTTACATCTGGAAGGTCCTTTATTGGCCAGTACAAGTTGGTATCTGAGAGCTATTCCAAAAGAAGTAATGCATGGAGTACCACGTATGGCCAAGCAAGGATATTTATGTTCTGTCACTGAAATCACAGAGACAGGTGAAGGACTGACTTTGCTTTGGATGCTCCGTTGCCTTTTCCCACCCAAAGACAGTCCTTCCAGATGAGGTCTGAAGCTTATTCATAGGGCTGTGTGGGGAAACTTGCTGCACTTTTTAGAGGATGAGTATCCTTCACGTGATTGTTCATCATTTTTCATAAGCTCTAGATTCACTTAAATGGAACGCTTAATGCTACCAACATCTGATAACCCTTCCCATCTGCCAGAATTTGCAGGCTTCTGATGAACCAGCTTAAAAATTGCAAAGGCAAATAAAATGTAGCTTAAAATCACAATGATCAAATGCTGTGGCTGTTACATGGGATTATTTTGTCAAAAAAAAAAAAAGAAGAAGAATAGTTGTGTGTCATAATATCATGGTATTAAGTACCAGTTATGTTTCCTGTGAAATACCGACTGGAATCAGTTGATGTGGTATCCTGTCTTGCATTGTATTTACCCTTCACTGACTCTGTTTCCACTTGTTGGGTTCCTCTCTGTTTTTACATTGTTTTATTTTGAGCTTACTCGGTAAAGAAAAGATATTCAGAAAATGTCATCAAATAACATGTGCTGCACTGATGTCAGCTGAGGAAATCAGTGTCAAGAGCAGGAAAAGCCAGAAGATGAATGGATCTTTTAGTTCAAAATAGGAAACAGCTTGAAGTTCCTTTGAGGGGAAACAGAAACCTCATTCATTAACAATGACATTATTTCACCTCTGGTTAAGAGTAGGGATTCTGTTCCCCCCTGATGGACAGGCACATCTCACATTCATGCAAATGACCCTGAACATTCATGGATACAAAGGAGCAGCCCTAAAATATTGATAATTTTGACCAGCAAGCTGTTCTCGTGAACTGCATGTGGCTCAGACATCTGGCACAGGGCAAAATGCATTATTTGTATTCCTGAGTTGACTTCAGACAGTCTAAGGTCTGTATGTCTCCCTGCGTTCATCTCTGGATTTCAAAGTAAATCTGTGCTGCTGAGGTGAAGGAAGTTGTCTGGATGATGCAATATTCATTTGTTTGCACTTTGATATGAGGATCCTGTCTGATCAAGCACTTGTATGCTTTGTTCAGGATTAATTACTTAGGCATGTCGGTGGTTCCTGGGTTTCTGTTGGTGTTTGATAGTGCGCATCCATCTATGTGTTCATAGTGATGCATGCAGAACTGTGTGCCTTTTTTCCAATTGAACTAAGAGCGGGGGAGGAGGTCCTGGTGTCCAGCTAAGATCACCTCCAATTGTGCAGTATAGAAAAGGTCAGTAGGAAGTTTTGCTCCTCTTTGTACCTTCTCATTTCCCCTTGGGGCTGGAGCTGCAGCTAGCAGCCTGGTTCTTACCTTGTGCTATTCTGGAGTTTATTTGTCTTTAATTTGGAAGCTATATCACACCTGAAATTGTCAAGCGTTTCTTTTTGTAATAGGAATTATCCCTTTTGAATAGCTATCAGCATCACCATCCACAAAGCAAACGTTTCATTTCGGAATATTAGAAATAACAGTTGATTCATTGAAGTCTGAAGTTCAGCAGTGCAGAACTTCCATCTGTTATCTGGCTTGTTGGCAAGGCTTATGCCCTGTCCTTAATAATACATGATTGATACAAAGCGTTCAGTGAATAAAGTCCAGTCATTAGCAGGTTGTCTCCCTGTGCTGCTGTAATGTTAAATTACTGCTTGGCTCTGGAGCAGCAGTGAGGAAGGTCTAGGGTCTTAGGGGAGATAAGGCAGCTTGAAAGCTGTTTTTCTGCTTGGTGGTGATCCAGATCTGATGTAATTGTGTGCACAGCTCAGTGCAGAGAGGGCATGGCAGGTTTCTTTAGGATATGATATTGATGGCTGGACCCAGGTGCTACTTGTCTCATTTCCTTGAGTCCAACTGCAAATGTTCGTGAATGAGAATGGAGTAAAGTTCTCCAGGAACAGTGCAGGATATTTGGAGACATTTGTACTATGCTGAATCATTTTGCAAATGGTCCATGTGATTTCCAAGATAAATCACAGACTCTATGTGCCTGGACAGTGGGGACAAATTCTGCTCCCAGCAATGTGAATTCAAAACGTATTTTCAGTAGTCTTCAGAGTCATCCAGATTTAAAATAAGGACTGCATTTGCTTTAATGACGTGGTTTCTAAGCTGGACTTTGAATTACAGAAGCAGGTTCTTATCAAATAACATTGTTTTTCCTCTTTTTTTTTTTTTCTTCCTGAAAAAGCACAGGAAGTCTGCCATGCTGCCAAGAGAGGTGAATGAATACAGCATCTGATGTTAAATTTTCCAAGAAAGCTTAGGATGTTTTGCAGTCCTCCGAATGCTAGAATCCTCTTGGCAAACCCAGCATTCCTTTAGGATCTTGATCAGAATTTGCTCTGTAACTACACGTGCAGAAGTGGGAGAAGGAATCCCAAGTATGAAAGCTCCCAGTCCTTACCAGTCACTTCCTTACAGTCAGAAATAGCACTGCACTGCACGTCGATGGCAATGTCTCAGTGTGATGTTAAAGCGTTAAAAATTGGAATGCCACCTTCTTGTTTCAGCACAGGCGTGCTGAAAAGTTGCTGGTTTGAGAAGAGATGTTTTCATCTGATAGTACTTCTTTTTTTTTTTATAATTCTTTTCACGTATTTTTCTTCCAGCTATCCATTTCCCATGGTGTTCAGCAGCTGCAGTAGAAAGGACCTGGAAAACAGCCTGGAGAAAGGAGTGGGGATGTGTCTGTTTAACTTGCCTGAAGTCAAGGAGTCCTTTGGTGGACAGAAGTGTGGGAATGGCTACGTGGAAGATGGAGAGGAGTGTGACTGTGGGGAGCCTGATGTAAGACACTGCCTGAGAATTACTACTCATCTCTTGTCTGTGGGGTTTTAACAGTGGAGAAGTTCCAGAGTTGGTTTGATGTGTTTTGAGGCCATTTGGTGTGATGCAGAACTTCCCCTTTTCCGCTTTCTATCTTATCTATCAGCTTAAGCCTCAGAAATGCAGGGAGTTTCTGCTTGTCGTCTTCTTGCTGAAGGTCAGGCAGGGCGTTAATTTAATCATATACTCAATTTGTCATTGGGGAACAAAGTCTTTTATGGTCTGTCCAGCAGACCAGCCGTGGCCAACTGTCATGTTCCTACCAACAGAAATGCTGTTACGTACTAGCTAGGATGAGATAAATCCAAAATAAATTTGTTAACATTGCTTAGATTTCTCAGGATACTGAACATTAATAGAAGTCTTGCTTCTCTAAGTGCAAAGCCACTTAATTAACATTGCTTAGGTGTTCTTTTGTTGCAGTTAGCTTCAGGTTTTAGGTACAATACCACTCCTTCAGCTCTGAGATTTTTCTTTTCTGCTAGCCAATTACCCCAGTAACAAAATAGCCTTTACTGTCTCCCAGAAAAATTGCTGCTACTTCAAAGATCATTTTACTTAGTTTAGTGAGTGTGTCAGACAACTGCTCAGATGAGGAGGAGATAGGCAAAATCTGGAGGTCAAATAATATATAAGCACGCATTCATATCCCTTTGGCTTCCCACATTCATTGGCTGTATTGAACTTCTCCCAGATTATCTGAGTTAAGTACATCAGTAGATGAGGGATTTGTTTCCTGTGATAAATATTGCTCTGCAGACAAAATAGATTGGGGCAGTTAAAACAGCGAGATATTGCTGTATCCTGTCTATACAGTGTATTGGATTTACACAAGCCATAAGGATTTCCTGACAGTTCACTCATTCTTCAGGGTAACAAGGTTGGAGGAAACAGGCTTATCTTCTAGTTTAAAGTCAATAGAGTGCAAGCAGCTTGCAAATGTCTTTCTAACCCAGTTATCTTTCTCATTTTCAGTTTTGAATGATAGCGATACCTTTCCGAGTCAAAGTCAGTTAATGTCAGCAAGCACTGACTTGATTTGCCTCTTCTTACTGTGATTTTCTTTCTTAGTTATATTGGAAAACTGCACCTTGAGCCCAATTAAATTAATTTGGATTTTACCGCTATAAATTGAGTTGTGCCGAAAAACCACCAGAGCGTTTAATAATTCACTGTCCAGTCATTTATATCAGCTGAGTTTTGTCAACAGTGGTGCAGTATTTTATGGCGTGGAAAGCTGTACAGTGACATATGGTAGCTGTCTTCTCATTGTTCAGAATTAAGTGTATCTGAATATGTGGATATAGGTTGTTGGTAAGGATATTTCCCAAAGAATGTTTTACCCTCAGGATTTTGGTGAGGTGCTGGAGTGTGTTACTTGCCAAGCAAACAACAGCTTTGCTATATTCCCCAGGCAAAACATCAGCCCTGTGTTGAGATCCTTCAGCAGGACAGCAGTGCACTCATAGGGGCAGAGAGCCATGACCATAGCACACACCCACCCTTGGGACAACCCTGGAAATGCCATAGGGATTATCTGGCCACCTCTACCCACACTGCGGCCTCATGCATCAGGTGCTGATGCAACTGATTGTACTCAAGTCATCTTGTTGAGTATAATGGGTGTTGGCATGCCCCCACCGGGCCAAACGTCTTGACCAAGGGATGATGTTGCCAACCTAGCTTTGGATTATATTACCAAAAACATCCAGTGTGCTACAGTGTCTCTGGAAGGAGGATTAATGTGGATTATGACTGCAAAGATAGAAGGCAAATATGTGTCTGTCTATCTTTGTGCATATATATATATATATCTATATCCTTGGTCCCTGAGAAATGAAAGGTGACAAATGAAAGATGGTTAATTTTATAATAAGCTGCAAGGGACATCAGAAAACCTCAAATCAGTCAATGAGAAGTCAGTTCCAAACAAATTACTGGCAAATGTAATAAAGAGCTGCTGTCTGAGTTACTGTGATGTGCCAGGGAAGAGTCAACAGAGCTTTTGTGCCAGGGTGTCCTGCCTTACAAACATATCACAGTGCTCTGAATAACTTAATGAGTGGGTGGGAAGGGAAGACCCAGCTATTACAGCCTGCTGGGACTTCAAAGGGGCTTTAGACCAAGGCCTCCTTGGAAGACTAAGCATCTGTAGGATTTGGACAAAAATGGGTTAAAAGAAAGGAAATATTGGTCACATATAAATAATCAATTTTGGCAGTTGAAGGAGATCTACAGTGATGCGTCCATGAGATGTGTCCTGGAAAACTGCACAATTCAGCATGTTGGTAAACAGCTTGGGAAGAGGAATGGCCTTGAACTTGCTGATGATATTAGCAAGGATGGTAGAGCTGAGAACTGGCTGTGAAGAACTGCAGGAGAACCTTCTGAGACAGCTTGACTGGGCATTATGGTGACAAATGGGATTCAGTGCAGAGTGATGCGTAATCCAAACATCACGTATAGGATGATGGACTCTGAACTGACTCTGACCGTAGAGGAACAAGACTTCTTATTGCAATAAATAGTCTCATGAAAATGTCAGTTCAGTGCTCACGAGCAGTCTGAAGGGTAAATAGGCTGTTAGAAATTACTAGGGAAGAAATAGGAAAACAAAACAAAGCACTGGTAGGCTGCTATAAATCTGCAGCATGTTGTGGCTGAAGCTGTGTGTACAGTTTTTTCCTACCTCTCCCTGTTTTCAAGCAGGATAAAGCAGAATGAGAAGTCTGAAAGAAAAAGCAACAGAGATGTTTAAATATTTGGAAGAAAACTCTGGCTGGGAAGGTAGAAAATAAAACAATATTTGACAGAAGCTGATAAAATCATGAGTGAATTGGAAGGAGTGAATAGAGAGCAATTGCCTCTGGCAACAACTGTGCAAATGAAGTTAGCAAATGGCAGGTTGCAAACAAGCAGAAGGAGCTGCTCCTGGGACTGTGTCACCTACTTGTGAGTTCCTTTCCACCAAATGTTGCAGGTGCTAAAAACGTGTGGGGATCCAGGTGAACCCAGGAGTTGGGGGGAGGTATCACACATCTGTGTTTATATTGTTGTCTGCAAGCATTTTCTGCTGGCTGTTGTCAGGGGATGACAACGTCTGGCCTAAGGTGGTCTACTTTGTGTTCTTAGGAAAGTGGGGGTGAAACCAAGATGTCCTGTCCAAAGCCACTGTAGAGGATGCCAGAATAGTTGTTGGTTTTGCCTGTTTGAGGTGCTCTGATGAGCCCAGGAGACCTACACCAAGAAACCCGCCTCCCCTCACTACTGTTGTTACTAACAATGACTGATAATAATGCACTATTCGAGGGCAATACTTTCAGGTAGTGGCCTCCCATTTCTCTTCCAGCCTCCAAAAACCTCCTGAACCCTTTCTGTTTGCTTGCCTGTTTATGTTAAAACCATCCCTGACAATTTAATAGCCCGGGCACAAAAACTATTTACCAAGCTCATCTCCTGCAATGAGAAATAAGTGAGAGAGCAATTCGAAATCTGAAAGGCTGCAGTAACATCGTTCAGAGAAACTGTGTCTTTATCCCACGCTGTCTGTGGAATGCCAATTGCTTTCCTTGGGCTGCTCTGTGGATGGCCTGATGATGGGGTGCAGGAGCTGACTCTTTCAGAAGCGCTTTAATTGGATTGACATTGTTTTCCTCCACTCTGCTCTTCTCAGATTGCCGTTGAGATGAATTTATAAGATGTGCTTCTGTGCAGAGGAGCATTCCTTCTTAAATACAGCAGCTGCACAGAAATATTTGTGTTGCCTGCTGCTTTCCAGCATGATCAAAAATAGGTGCAGGAAGTTGTTCTGCTGCTTCAGAGCAGCGCAGATATCTTTGTATATTCAGGAAGAAAACAGGGAAAGGCTGAGAATTATTTCACTGGTTATTTGGGAGTACAGCAGTAGACCTGTTTTCCAGTTAGAAAGCTTTACAAAAGTCAAGAACATAGTTGAGCTGTGAACATCATTCTCACCCGTTTATTTTTCTTGCGTTCCCTGTATTGTTAGTGATCCCTTGTGAAGCCAAATCGTCTTAACACAACTGAAGAGCAATTTTATCTGCTGCTATTTTTGTTAGAGAGCTGAGATTCCAGCACAGCTGATGTAACTTGCAGCTTGTATCAGCTTGGAAAAGCAGCTCAGTTATTTTCTGAAACTTCTTATTAGGTCGTTCTACTGAGAATAAGGTTTGTAAAAGCCCACGTGCAACTGTCTAATCCATAAGTGTGAAATTGGGATGTAAAAGTAATAATGGAATTCATATTTTTCTCTAAACTCTGTTACTGGAATACCCAAAGAGAAGATTACGTGGAGTGGTGTCATTGTCTGTCTTTGTGGCAGACATCAGCTTCCACGCAAGGCAAGAAATGTGCTGAGCAAATAGCACAGAGCAGAGAGCTGCAGTGGTGATGCTCAGTAACTGCAGCTTGGGATCCTCAGCTAGGGTGAACCCCACTGAAGGCAATGAATTCATTCCACTGGTTTCCTGGAAATCAAATGCCATGTTATTGTGTGGGGATTGGTAGCAGCGTACTTGTGTTGTTCGTGATATTTGAGACTAGATTCATAGCTAGGATAAACCAGCCTTCCTCAATGGCTTCTCTGGTTTTACTACAATTACTGCAGTTGTAGGATCTAAGGACAGACAAGGCTGCTTGGATCAGGTTATAGAATTTTATGTATAATTCATGAATTCGTGGCTAACTTTTCTTGGCAGGGTTATAGCACCTCTCAGAGATAAGCAGCCTCTCTTGATTTACAGCTCATTGCAACTGAAAGTTGTCTGCTTTCAATTTATCCCCATCCAGGAATGTACAAACAGGTGCTGCAATGCAACTACCTGCACTTTGAGGCCAGGAGCAGTGTGTGCACATGGACTTTGCTGCGAAGACTGCAAGGTGAGCTGATGGAAATGGTCACTGGTGTGGGGCAGGCAAAATATCATAATCTTCCCAACTGCAGACTAGTAAGCAAGGGTGCAGAACCAACAAATTATGCCGTTAACCATTAAAATGTTTGTATTTCTTGTGAGCAGTTTTTTTTTTAAAAAAAACATCAAACTCTTACAATTATTGAAGGGGCAGAGCAACAGACTTCTCTCTAAGGAGGCCTGTGCTACTTGTGGCCACTTCTTTTTCATGAACTTCTATGCTTGAATGTTTTTCACACTTACATGGGTGTTGGTCCCCATGAGCTGGGGCTGGGGAGGTTCAGTGGAGCTGTATGGATGGGGAATCACAGAATGGCTTATGTTGGAAGTGACCTTAAATATCTTGTTCCAGCCTGGCCTTGGGCACTTCCAGGGATGGGGCGCACAGCTTTTTTGGGCAACCTGGCCAAATCTTTATACCGTCCATTGCAGTCAGTTAATGCAGAGCCAATGGCTATGTGGGTTACATCACTACATGGCTCCTATTAATTGACGTAACAGCAGCCAAGGTTTTGTTTGTTTTGCAGTTAAAACCAGCGGGGATTTCTTGCAGAGAGTCGAGCAATTCCTGCGACCTGCCAGAGTTCTGCACCGGAGCCAGCCCTCACTGCCCAGCCAACGTGTACCTGCACGATGGGCATGCGTGCCATGGGGTGGATGGCTACTGCTACAACGGCATCTGCCAGACCCACGAGCAGCAGTGCATCACCCTCTGGGGCCAGGGTGAGTCTGAGCACCAGGAGTGCTGTTCATCAGGCAGACTCAAGGCAGAGTTGTGTGTGATTATGGATGGATTTGGGGGGAATTTGATACAGAACCAATCTGCGCCTATTCTTCTCTGAAACAGAGAACCGAACAATGAGGGAATCAGTTTGCGACTCATTTTCCCCTTGATTTGCAGTCGTGTTCATTCTTTGCAGCAGGAGGTAGAGAGCAGCATTAAATAGGTTCATTCTGCAGCACCAGCACGCGTGGCCAGGTGAGCTGAGGCAAATCATTTAGTACTGACTTTGACGTGCCCTTGTCTCACCTCCTAAAACGCTGAATGCTCCTGACACAGGTGGAAACCACATCCCTTCTCAGACCAGTAGGTAAGCTTCTACCTCTGTCTGAAATGCTCCATCCGTAGAACACACGTGTCTGTCGACCTCCTAAAATAGAGTTAACATTAACACGAGATTCTTGTAGCACTGAGTGCACGCTGTCTATTGGTGTCACCCTATAAACCTACCCCCCAACAGTTCTCTTAGCAGAGGATGCTCTGAAGCAGGAGGGCTTATCTCCACGGGATTTCACTCACTTTTTGCACAAATCTCATTCAATGAGCCCTTGGGTTATCCTGAGCAGGTAACCAGGAAAGCTGTTCACCTCCTTGTTGTGTCCTGACACACCAATATTAACTCTGCGCTTTGCTGTTGCCTCGCTGGGGGCAAGTCCCATCTTCAGCTTCTCACTGAGCCCCTCTCTCAAATGGAAGAAGCTCTTTGAACTTCCCTGAAGAGGAGTGCTATTTAGTGCAAGATTCTTTTATGTTAATGTTTTCTACTCCTTTGACCTCTTTCAATTTAGTATCTCACCGCCTTTTGCTCTATTTCAAAACTCGAGTGTCAGTCTAATTAATGATACACAGATGTTTCCCTTGGTCAGAGACCCCATCAGAAATCCACTAAGGATTTATCTGCTATCTGTGTAAGAGCTCAGACAATTTGCAAACTTGTAAAAGGGTGTTACAGCATCTCAGGAGATAATGCCATAGATAAGGAAAGCAGGAGAGATGCAATGCACTCTTGTACCCATATGAGCATGCTAGCAAGAATTCTGGCTCATAACTAAACTGCCTACGTGGAGCAAACTGCGCCTCTGATGCACTCCTCCAAATCCCACTCATGTCATAGAGGTAATAAGAGCTGATACAGGCATGTACAGTTATAGCCTCCAGCCTGAGTCATGCTGGGATTTGTAATCCCCTGGATACAGAGACGTTTTCTCTCGTATAAAGCAAAACCTTCCTTGTGAACCAGTTTCCCATGCCATGGAAAGTTCTTCAGTTGGACTGTTAGTAATTTCAGCCGCTGAGAAAAATCCAGCTAAAGGTCAGAAGCTGAATTACTGCAGCTCCCTTGTTAGGTCTGTTTCTGAACAAAGCACGTCTTCCAGCACCCCCGAGCTCCCCCAGATCTGTCTTGTCTTTCTTGTCTGGACTACTGAGCAGGCACTGCTGTGCCTGGAGCCTCAGCAGACAGGGCTGTGGGGGTCTCCTTATGAGAAAAATAGCTTTATTACGAGCAGAGCTCAAATGGTCACAACAGACTTTAACCAGAATGCCAGAACCTAAACTAAAAGTCCTATTTCTGACCTCAGTGGTGCAGGTATGAATTAGACATCATGTCAGTAAACCTTCCAACTTCAAGCGAACTAGATTATGCATGAAAAAACAAGGAATATTCCTACCTGCTCACACTTCTGGCTAGCTGGAACATGGATTAGCTGATAAAGAGTGAGAAGAGGGGGAGGTGGGCTGCACGGTCCATGTGGCTGAAAAACAGAGATTCCAAATCTCACCTGCCTGAAGGGTCAGATAAGAAAAGTGTTTCCTTCCAGCTCGCTTGCTGAAGAAGAGACTTGACAGACTGAGAGGTTGTCTTTGGGCGTTGTATGAAAAAGTTCCATTTGAACCTTTTACTAGATTCCTATAATTGTTTAAAAATTGTTTTTAACAACTGCGTGTGTTGGAGGTTGGATGAAAGAACAATTGTGTGTTCTTAAATGAAAATTTTATACCATAAAGAGAGAACACGCCCTGATTCCTTTACATTAATTCTGTTTTTCTTCTTCTCAGCAGGAGAGAGCCAGGCAGGACAAAATACAATAACTTTTCTTAAAACTATATTCAGCACATTGAATTCCTTATCAGTGTGTTCTCTTATTTATCTTTCTTTATTCATAGGCTTACAGATGCCCAATGATACATGTCAACCTTAATATTTTTAGCACCGAAGAAAAATAATGAGCTTTGTTGGAGCTCACACGTTAGGCTGAGCAGCAGGGATCTGTTTCCAGAGTGGAGTACTTGCATTTCATTGGGTTTGTTACTTTCAGCAGATAATTTCAGTTCAAATGGAGGAATACTTCTTGCTGTTCCCTCTCTGCAATAGGCCAGAGTGCTCAGAAAACCCTAAAAACTCTTAATTTTTCCTGTTTCCTGTTCAAAATGTTGGCATTGCACTGGTCTGCCCTGTTGGCAGCAGCGTGAGCAGTGCATCAACAGGAATGCATTTCTGTAATGCCTGGTAGTCCACTGGCATTTTGGGGGAGCAAATAGCAATGCAGAGGAAGCTATTTAAGAGAGAGGAATTATCGATTATCAAGCAGTAGGAGATTACCAGTGTTAAACTCCTGGCATTTTCTCCATGGACAAGAAAGTGATTCTTGAGGAAGGACGAGGACAGTTTTGTCAGTGTGTTTTCCTGCTTTTTCACACAAGGCAAAAAAGCAGTGATTTGGGGCAGTCAATGGCAGACATAGACTTAATAATTAGAACATGTTTAAATTTGTTGTGTAGGCATGGCCATTTGTTTAGGAGGAAACAATTTTCTTGTCAATATTTATTACAAAGGCCTGTCAGTGATGCACTTTTTTCCAAGTACAGCCCTACAAGAACAGATGGGTTCCCCATCCCACTTAACTGACCAACCTGTGGCTGTTTTTTTTTTTTTGCAAGAATGCAAATTTGCTTAACGAGATTCAGATTTGATGGTGTTTTAGTATAACCAGTGAAATCAAACTGTTTGGATTATCATAGACTTCTGGCAATGCCTTTGCTTGCTTCTAGGGTTGGGAAAGGCATTAAATCGTATTCTCAGAGCTAGTGAGAGCTCGCATCCTCCTTAAGTGCAAAAATACCAGCTCAGCCCCATCTCGCTCTTCACAAACTTAACAGCAGGGATCACCAAGATGAAGAGAAAGGCCGAGGGGAGCTTGAGGAAGTTTGCTTTGCGTCATCGGTGCAGTAAAACAGACTTAATGAGATATAGAATCCAGGTGCAAACCACATGACACACAGAGCTGTGTTTTTATGCTTGTATTTATTTATACAGTTGGTCACAGTGCTTGTGAGTAACAAAACTCCCATCTGAGTGAGGTTTTCTTTCCCTCCTCACCTACACGCAGCGTATAATTTCTTTTTTAATAAGACAATGTTGGCACCTGAGTCTACATCTCAGTTTCCACTTACAGCCTGGTAAATGGTGTTTCTTCATTCTTGCAATCAGCACCGCAGGAATTTCTCTCTTCTCTTCTGGGAGATGATGTTGGCTCCTTGCAGCAGGTCCTGCAGATCTGAAATGGCACGGCGTTTCTGCACCGCTTCCGAGAGCAGAACATCTCTGTTTATGAAATCTGATGGTGGAAGGAGTGCACTCATCAATGCACACATTTGGAGGGGAAAAGAAAAGTCTCCAGGATGACAGCTGAGGTGCTGAGCTCTGACCTGCTGCAGTTTCGAATGGCTGATTTAATCCCCCTGAATAAGGCTCAGTGTGCAAAGGCTGACAGAACCTTAATTACCGAGTGACGATATTGTAATTATCAACTGCAAAGTGAAAAAACTCTGCTCATCAAGTTCAAGGCACTTACTATCCACTGGAAATCTTTTGCAAACCATCTTGTCTTTGCCCATAGAGGCAGTGAAATAGAGAAAGACAGGACTTTCTGCTGCAGTCTGTGTGCTGCGATCATGATAAATGGGTTTCCTCCAGCAACACAACATTACGATTTTCATCCTTAAGCATCCTCTGAAATTCTCCTTTTAACTTGGTCGCTCCATCTGTTCAGTTTCTTACAGTCTATGTTTTCATTTATAAAAATGTCCAAATATTGTGAGAAACCAGTCAGGAGAAGGAACAGCCGTCTGAATCCCAAGCTACCATGTGTTTCGGTTTGATAGAGATGAAATTGAATTGAAGCTAGACTTCTGTTTCCGGGTCCCAGCTGATCGTTGGGTACCAGGTGTTTCATACCCAGACTGCTCTCAGCCTGGCAGGGGAGCGTTTCCTTGTGCTCCACGAAGCCCATTTCCTTGTCAAGTAATATTGGTTGGAGTTAAAACTCGCTGGCTGTGCCCTGCAAGGATGCTGCAGATGTGTTCTTCCTGTGGGCTGCGTTCCATCACGTGTAACGTGCTTGACTTCTACAGTCAAAAAATAAAATGTTTCACCAGGTGAAAGAGAAGGCAAATACCTTAAAATCTCAATATTTCAACCATTTTTAATAAGTATTTTATTGGTAAAAAAGCAGGATGTGAGGCATGCGTTTTGCTTTTGGCAGCAGGAAAAAGGAGACTTGTAGCACTCATGGTAGGTGGGTGGTTTACTCCTTTGGTGAGGTGAGCTGGGTCTGAAGGAGGTCAATCATTGCAGATATTGGAGGGGAAAAAAAGCAGTTTATTTTACTTGGGCTTTCACTTACAGCATGTTTTTCTTTCCTTCCTTCCCTTTGCATTCTGAAGCTGGAGTAGTGTATGCATATGTTAATGTTTGCATCATGCTGAATAGTTAATGTGCCTGGCCTGGAAAGATGAGGAGGGATCTATATGCTGGAAATGTAAATTTCACTGTTGCTTTTTGCGCAGTGCCTTGTCTGGATGCTTTTGTTGATTTTTTTGATTACTGCTTGTGGTCTAATGAAAAGAAGTGAAAGAATCCTGGGTGAGTCCCTTTAACAGTTCCAGATTTGAGAAAAATTCTGAACTCAGCTAACTTGATAATGATCTTCCGAGGAATTTCAGGCTCTTGTCCTTCTCTCCAGGGAACCAGCAGCTCACATTCTGTTCCTTCTTTGCCCTCCTTCTGGGGTTTTCCAGTTTCAGTACGTACAAATCTCAGACTGAAAAGAGGGTGCCATCGTAAGCCTCTCCACGTTCTAATTTTTTGTCCTTAATAGCATTAGATTGCTGCTTGGCAGTATGGAGTATTAGTCAAGCTTCTGACTGTGAAATGCAGATAATTAATTGAGGCTTTAATCTCCAAGTTATTAGTGAAAAGAGCCGCACTAACTGGGAGTTTTACAATCATATTTGTACGTTCTTCAGGAATTGGACCCCCTTTTTTTAAGCCTCCTTCTTCTTTGAATGTTTATAATGAAATCTTCAGGACACTTTAAATGGATTATATACTGCATCCCCAGTTATAGGCATGCACACCTGCAAGTGGCTGAGAACGCCTGAAAAATGGAACATTAATTCTGCCTCTGTTAAAGGTTGGGGAACACTGTGAAAATGGCAAACTCTCAGCCTTTAGGCTATCACAGAAATTGCTGCCTGTTCTTGTTTCAGTTTGGCTGATCTGTCAAAAGTACAAAATGTATCCAGCAGATAAATGCTAAGATTTTTAGCCAATATATATCCATCCTTGCCACTTTTGTCTCCTCAGAAGTCGTCTGTGCATTGCAGTAGATGAAATGTTGGCAATTGTTGGCAATGACCCAATTGTGCTATGAATTATTTCATGGATAGAAAATACGGGGTAGTAAAGGGCCCTAGCAAAGGGCCCTTCTATCTATCAAAGAGCAGCAATTATTTGCTGGAAATAAAAGCTACCATTCACATTAAAAATAAAGGAATGAAATTCTAATGCAGGGGCTAATTAAACATTGCACAGTCAAAGCATGAACATAGATCCTCCACCTCTTAGACGTCAGATACATGTATGGATGCTACCCAAGAAGATATCCCATAGTTGGTGATAATCTGGGGG